TCAGATATTTGTGCATTTCAGCTTTTTAGAGAAATACGAGGTGCCCTTAACACCAAAGGAAAACAAGTCATAGATTTCCAGGATGTGCAAATAGACATTGAAAATCAGGTGTGACAGGTGCTATAAAGGGTAGAAGTTGAGTCAGGACTCAGTGTTGGGGACTGAAGTGCAGGCCCTGCCCCAGCAAGGTCTCGCTCCAGATGATGGCTTTATGGGTTCAGGGGGTCATACAGACAGGACTTCTGTTTTTCCACAGATTCCAGAAATATGAGATAGTGCACCTCATCCCACAACTGTTAACTGTTAGTACATCTTTAAATACCTGGTATTCACTGAAAATTTGCCATGTACCAGACAGCTTCTAAGAGTTCTAGTGCATTGTTTCCACTTATTCTCTCAACAACTCTATGGCATATGTTTTGATCATGATTTCTGTTTCATAGATGAGAAAACTGAAGCACAGAGAGGTTAGAATCACTTTCCCACTGCCACACAGTGGAGGAGCTGGGATGTAAACCCAATCTATCTCCTTCCAGCCCTCAATTCTGTTCTGTTCTTTTTTTTTCTTTTCTTTTCTTTTCTCCTTCCCTCCTTCCTTCCCTTTTCTTTCTTTCTTTCACTCCCGCCGCCCCCCCTCCCCCCACCGGCCAAAGCTTGCTTGCACAATTTCAATCTTGTTGCCAGGCTGGAGTGCAATGGAGCTATCTCGGCTCGCTGCAACCTCTGCCTCCTGGGTTCAGTGATTCTCCTGCTTCAGCCTCCTGAGTAGCTGGGATTTCAGACACACACCACCAGACCCAGCTAATTTTTTGTATTTTTAGTAGAGATGGTGTTTCACCATGTTGGCCAGGCTGGTCTTGAACTCCTGACCTCAAATGATCCATCCACCTTGGCTTCTTAAAGTGCTAGGATTACAGGCATGAGCCACGGTACCCAGCCTGCACTCAGTTCTTAACCACCTTGATACACTGCCTGTCCGCCCGCCCTCCCTTCCTTCCTTCCTCCCATTAGCTAAATCCGGGACAATCTGAATATCAAAATGAATAATAATAGTGTGAAAAATTATAACCCATTCAAAAACATAAGAATCTGCAAGCTTGCACTACCCTAAATAGGCACAAATTATAAAGAATAAGTTCTTCCTGACAGCACACCTGTAATTCCAGCACTTTGGGAGGCTGAGGTGGGTGGATCACCAGGACAAGAGATCCAGACCATCTTGGCCAACATGGTGAAACCCCGTCTCTGCTAAAAACACAACAAAAATTAGTGGGGTGTGGTAGCATGTGCCTGTAGTCCCAACTACTCGGGAGGCTGAGGCAGGAGAACCACTTGAACCCAGGAGGCAGAGGTTGCAGTGAGCTGAGATCGCACCACTGCCCTCCAGCTTGGCGACAGAGCAAAACTCCGTCTCATAAATGAATGCGTGAATGAATGAATGTACACAAAATTGATGGAATTAGTAAAGTCACTATTTGGCAACTAGATTCAAACCAAACCAAATGTATCAAATTTAATCTGTGGATTTGTAGTTTCCAGCATTTAGCATAAAATCTCCCGTGATTAGACGACTGGGTTGATGGAGTAAACTGTATCTTTTAATTGTCCTGGTAATTCTCCCTCAGTCCCAAGAAGACCCTAAACAGAAACTAAAATTATTTTCCTGCATTAGCATGCTAAAAGACACATCCATCAGTGCCATGACAGTTTACAAATGCTATGGAAACATCAGGGAGCTACCCTATATGATCTAAAAGCGGAAGGAACCCTCAGTTCCGGGAATTGCCCACCTCTTTTCTGGAAAACTTATGAATAGCCCATCCCTTGTTTAGCATATAATCAAGAAGTAACTATATGTATGCTCAGTCAAGCAGCCCATGCCACTGTTGTTCCTATGGAGCAGCCATTCTTCATTCCTTTACTTTCCTAATAAACTTGCTTTCACTTATGTCCTCAGATGGTAGAGCCACACCTAGGGCATCAGGAGCTCACATTTTGAGATGTGCGTGAGAAATAAGGCAAGAGCTGGATCTCGTTTCTCGCCGTGCTGTTCTCATTGAGTGAGGTTGTTGGAATCACCTGGGATACATTTTTCCATAGTCATCTTTCCCCTCCAAGCATGGATGGTTGGATGTGCCTGGGTTAAGTGTACATATAGTGCAACCTCACTCCATCCCCTGTGTAAGGAGTTTCCCCATAAAGAATTTCCTACTCTCCAGAGGAGCAGTACCTGGTCTGCAGAATTCCTGCCACAAGCATTGAGGAATTCCTTTGATCTCTTCATTCCCTCCTTCATTTTTTCCTTTCTCTCTTATTTTTCCCTTCTTCTATCTCAAAAAATTATTCAGACATCACAAAAGCCAACTGGACTGAATTCCATATATGTGATTGTGAACTTGTTTCCCACAAATAGCCCCGGAAATTTTGTTGAAGCTGAAGTATGTCAGCGTTGAGGGAGACAGAATGGGGACTGGAAAGATGTCATCATAAACTGTGAGCACTGAACAGCAAGTGTTACTGATAACAATCACCACAGCCCGGAGTCACTAAGCATTTACCTTGTGACAGGCACTGTATGACATGCTGATTTAGAAGAACTTGGAGAGGAGGTTTTATGACTTGGCATGAGTCCTGAGAAATTTGCCTAGTTTTATGGGTTACCATAAATGGCGGTTGTAAGATTACAGCTAGGACAACGAGGTAAAGGGGAAATATTTAATGAGAGCCTGTTAAGATCTATAAGCCAAGCATCATGTGTACAGGGGCAAACCAAAATAAACATGTCCCTGCTCTTACGCCATTTATATCCTAGTATGTGTGGGGGCTGAGGGAGAACAAGGGGAGGAAATGTTAATTAAATAATCACAGAAATGCATATAAACTTGCCATTGTGGTGAACTATATAGGAGCAGTATATGACATGCATCCCACAGGGCCTGGAACCAATCTATCTTCATTGGAAACCTGGCTTCCCTATGTACCGATTGTGATTCTAAGCAGATATTGAGCACCTCTGTGCCTCAGTTTCCCCGGGTGTGAAATGGGGAGAATTATCATAGGATGTAGCCCAAGATATTCCAACAACCTCACTCAATGAGAACAGACGAGAAACAAGATCCAGGCAGTGATAAGGATTCGTGAATTCGTATATAGCAAGTGTCAGCAGAGAGACTGAGGCAGCAGAAGTAGTCAATACAATACATAGTGTTATCATCATGGCCACATTTGTGTCCATGTCAGTGTCGGCTCTAGTCAACCTGCTCAGGGAGGTGAGGGGTAGCATACATGGTCCTTGCCCCACCCCATGTTGCTCACACCCTTTGCCAGTCTTTGTGCCCTCCCCTCAGGCTTTGCATGCTTTGCTCCTAATGGCTGGCACCTGCAGCCTTCTTCAAAAACTCCCTTCTGGCCACGATAGCCATTTTGCCTGGATATGTAAAGTCTAGAAGTACGTGGGAGTTCGCACCCCAAGGTGCAGCCTGGATTGAAGGTGTGTGGAAGCCCCGTGCCCTGGGCACAAGGATGACAAACTGAGTTGCAATGGACACTCCAGAGCTCCCCAGGGATCAGGCTGAGGCTGGAACTTCACTCAAAACCACATGCTTGTTGGCTTCTTTCCCTTCCCCATCCCGCTGTCCCCACAATCGCACAGGTCTCCTTGGGAATCACAACCCTAATGAAACCCGGTGCAAGAGACAGCCGTTGTGGTATCTAAGTCATCAAGGAAGGTTTCTTTCAGGAAGTGAAAGCTGGATGGATCTAGATGGTGCGTACGAGAAGAACAGGCAGAGAAAGAGCGTGCTGGGAGGGAGACGGTGGGAGGAACCCTCTTGCCAGCATTTAAGGAACAGCAGAAACTGGCAGAAGCCACTGTGGCTGGGGTCCAGAGGCCTCTGGGGGTGGATGATATGGGCTGAGGTGTGGGGGATCAGGAGGACCTCACCTGATAGGGCCTGGAATAAGCGGATTACAGAATCAGATCTTCACGTAAGAGCCATGGGAAGCCCCAGAGGCAGGATGAGGCATGATCAGGTTTGGGCTTTGAAAAGACCAATAAGGCAGGTGTGCAAAGAATAGAAGGGAAGGAAGCAGGAGAGGCTGGGATCAGCTGGGAGCTCCTGCAGTGGGTCCTGGCGAGAGATATTAGTGGCCACAACCAGTGTGATTACAAGGGCGGTAGAGATAGAAGTAACTAGACTTGAGAAATAATTTAAGCAGCAAAAACATGGAAAGTTATTTTGCAATTCTAAGAATAATCTTGCAGTAAAACTGCTATTAAACTCTAGATTTATCTAAGGGTAGGCTTTGTAATAGAGGACTTGTAGGCCATATGAGAAAATTTTCTAGTAACACGAAGTTTGAATTTGTTTTTATTTTATTGTAACGAAGGCAATAAAGGGGAAGTCTCTCAAATATTTTAAAAACTTTTATTCTTTTAGAGAATTTGAAGGTATACAGGTGAAATCTGACAAGACATGTAAATCTATAATTGTAAAAATTTCACAGCAGAGAGAAAGCATATACCTAGATATGTACATATTTATTAAAATATAAAGACATAAATGTATATTTCTGAAATAGTCTAAAAATATAACCTAGGAAGGGAAATCTTTATCAAATATACAGAATTATATTCAGTATACATTTAGGAAAAGCAGTAGTAAAAATATGCACAAATAAACCATCTGTAAACCCAATTTTTAAGTCATAAACATTGCATGCATTTCTATGCATTTTATGTTTGTGAAATCATATTTTTCCTAGGAGCTCAAATAACAAATGTTATATAACAAATCTCTAGCTTTTGCATGCTTTACAATTGTCCCATTGAATAGACAGAAAAATTAAGGCATGGGAACTCATTTTATAATATTAAAATCACACTGAATATTTTTAAGCTGTGACTAAACTTTGAAACATTGCCCTGCACCACAGATCCTAAATCAAGTACTGCAAATATTAAAAAAAAAAGACTGAGGCAAATTGCTAGTAGAACACACACACAGGCACGCATGTCTGTGCTTCATATGCATAAACTCAATTTAAAAACTATTACTTTATCCATACTTCAATGCCATAAAGGAATTACATTAAGAAAATAAAGAATTTTAAGGTCCTTTAACAAAATTATGCCACAGTAAGTCACTAGTCTTACAAGACGTTTGACTTCATTAAAGTCCTTTTAATAGAAGTGTTCTCTAATTTCCCAATAATGTTTTTATTGCAATGCAGGAAGAACACAATTTCATGGGAGGCCTGGTAACTTTAACCATCATTTAGCTTAGCTTACATTATTAAGCAGGTATTTCCCTAAGCAGTACATTAAACAGAGCTACAGTAAATGGATTGGCAGTGTTACTCCCAGCCCCAGAAAATTTAGCTGTTGTACGTCTTTCATTGTCAAATGTAAACTTATTCTTGGGAATTAAAGATTCCAACAACGAATGTGGTAGGCAGGGGCTGAAACAGTTAGTAGCTCTACATGACTGACAGGTGCCAGCCTCCCTTTCATGTCATGGAAGATGCAAGAGAGAACAGGCTGCCAGGTCATCGTAAGCACCTGAAGGCAGTGCTGATGCAGGTGAAGGGTAAACCAGCAGTGAACCCTGTAGAGTGCCTTGGATCTCAGCACTCGGTCCGCTTCCCTGAGTTGGATGTGATCTTAGCAAATACCACCATCTAGAAAGACAGTACAGCTTCTGGAACAATTTTTGCAGAAGAAAAAGTATCAACACCTGGGCTTAAATGTTCTTTGTAAGCTGTGGGTGTTTGAAGTTTGCTTTCTGGTAATGTAGAAGCCGAAAGCACCATTCTTGTAGAAATGTCGAAATGGCTGCTTTGGTCTTGGTTTAAAAAAAAAAAATTCTGAAAAAAAAAAAAAGGGTACGCCCTAATTATATATCAAAGAAGTATATTTAAAGAAGACAAATTATTAGCCAAAAAAATATGCTAAAACTAAAATTGCCCTGGGCTCTTGCCACAGGTGTGGCTTGCTGTGGTCAACATGCTGTCTTTGCTGAAGACTGGGGGTCTCACAAGTGAGAATACTTTCCTTATTCTACTTGATTCAGTTCTGTTGGTTGGGATGCTCAGAATTTGACACATTTCAAAATAGCATCAGACACTCTGTGGAGGAATAATAATATATTCATTTGGGCCTTGTTCAGAAATTTCATCTGTAATTGTAAGTTTCTCTAAATCCACCAATCAGCAAATGCTCCTTAACTTGCCATTGGCAAACAGCAATTTCTTCCAGGAAAATCCTAAGAGGTGCTGATCAAAGAACAAAAATGATAGAATCTGATTTTAAACACTGACATGTCACTCTATAAAGCCATATGTTACAAATGTCATATTTCCACATAAAATGATATTGGAGCTTTCTTAGACTAACTTTTGATCATTTCTTGAATTCATTTTAATGCATATAAGGAGACTATCACTGGACTTACTAATTCTTAATTTCATTAAGGAAATTATTGCTCAGGACAAGGCTAATGTATACAATTAGGCTTATGTTAATTTAAGGAAATAACTCAGTAGTATTGAAATAAATAGCATCTGGTTGGTATATGGATATGGCAAAAGTCGTGGAGGGAACATAAGAACTCCTCTATTGTCAGAAAAAATATGTATTCAATACAGGCTGATAAATATATACATTTACATTACATGTCCTGCCATCACGCATACCTAGACCTTAGTGCTAAATACAGCCCACCGCTTGTTTTTAATAAAGTTTATCAGAACAGTTTTTGTAGGCAGAATAACGGTCCTCCTAAAATGTCAATGCCTAACCCCTGGAACACATGAATATGCTACTTCATGTGAAAAAACGACTTTTGCAGATGCAGTTAAAGTTATGAACTTTGAGACGGGAGATGTGATCGTGGATAATGTCAGACAGAAGCAACGTAAGAAGAAAGAGAGACTCAAAGTGTGAGAGGGACTCAACTGACCGTTGTTATTGGCTTTGAGATGGGGAGGTTTTCATGAGCCAAGGAATATGGGAAATCTCTAAAAGTTGAGTATAACCTTCAGCTGACAGCAGCAATAAAATGAAGACTACAGTCCTGTAACCATGAAGAGCTAAACTCTGCCAACAACCCAAGCTAGCAAGGGAACAGACTCTCCTCTAGAGCCTCCAGACAGAGCCCCGACAACACTATAATTTTAGCCTGGAGGAGCCCTGTCAGACTTCTGATCTATAGAACGGTAAGATAATAGATGTGTGTTGTTTGACTCACTAAGTTTTAGTAATTTGCTGTGGCAGCAATAGAAAACTGGGACATCAGCCCACTCATTAATTACAGATTCTCTGTGGCCCCTTTCATGCTCTGAGGTCGTAATAAGAGGATGTGACAAAGACTGTATGGTCCACAAAACCTAAAATATTGGCCAATTGGCCCTTTACAGAAAAAGTTTGCCAACATTTGCTATTCACATGCAAAAAGCATGAACAGCTGTTAGCCTTTACTAAACATTTAATTGATGCCAGGCTCAGGAATAGGTATTTGGTGTTCATATTATTTTTTTTGTGATGCACTCTCTTTGGGTCCTCATTTTACAAATAAAAAAAGAAAGCAGAGAGATTAGGGAACTTCTCAAGGTCACCCAGCAAGTTAGAAGTGAGCAGGGATTCAAATCCCAGTCTGGCTGACTTCTGAGCATGGCTCATCCCTCGTCATTGTCAGTACCTTGCAGAGGATAATGAACCCCCTGGATGCTCATCTGGGGCATCTTATCGCTGGCAGAATGCGATGGGGAGCTCCCGGCTGGGCACCAGTGTGCCTAAGTGCAGCATCTCAACAGGCTTGTCGTCTGTGGCCAGGATGTCGTATTTGCGGACAATCTGTAACACACATGCACACAAAAACAGAATTACCCCTCTCTTCTTCTGCCTTATGAAATAGCACAGAACGTAATTGCAGAAACGGGTAAAGGTTTTACCCAACAAAGAGCCAGGTGCAGTTGAAGCTCAGCTAATCGGCGACCAATGCACATTCTTTTTCCAATGCCAAATGGAAGATGAGCGAAAGGATTGATTTTTTCCTTCTCCTGAAGCCAACGTTCGGGTCTAAAATGACTTGAATCTTCAAAATTGTCTTCGCTGGATCCCAACACCTGGGTATTCAGCATCAGCACTGTCTAAAAACATACAGAAACACATAGCATTTAAAATAACCAGAAGAGACCTTTGAAATGGCAAAGTTTACAAAAGTTGTCACCTTACAAATGAAAAGCCAAATTGACAAATTGGCTTTCGATAATGACAATTGGCAACATGCACTGAGTGCTTAAAATGCGCCAGGCAATAAATAGGTAAAGGGCTTTAAAATTGTACATCACACCCACAACAACCTTGTGTGGTAGATTGTTATTAAACCCATTTTACAGATAAAGAAGTTGAGGTTCACAGAGATTGCGTAACTCACTCAAGATAAGCCAGACAAAGGTGAAACTGAATCCAGGTATCTGTCTCTGTAGCCAATAATTCTAATTCTATGCTATGCAAATGTGTCAACTATTCACTACCATGTGTGTGTTTCCAAAAATGAATGTTTTCCAGTACAAAGTCTGGGGGAGCTGATGAATATTTGCAAAGTGTATCTTTCGAGGTTTTGTAAGGTATAGAATATACAAATTCTACTTACTCCTTTGGGTAAAGCATATTCACCCAGAACTGTTGCCTTGTCAAGAGTCCGAGTTGTAAATGGTACACTCGGGGTAAGCCTGAGAAGATAAAATCAAAGATGTACAGGTGAGGACTGAAGTGTCAGTGGAAATGCAGATTGGATTAGGTGCTGCCCAAGTGCATACTCAAAGAGGCAGCATGATCACAGCTCTTCCTAAAGAAGTTGTCTCTTTCTTCCCCAAGATTCACATCTCTTGTTCCTCTCATCTTATTGAGTTAGTTAAAACCCAGTGCAAGGCCGTTTAGTAGCTGTTAACGTTGGTTTTCTTCATACGTCACTCCAGACTTCAATGTGTATCTTTCTATGCTAGCCCTTGAAGCCTGATGTTTGTTCAAAGTTTCTCCTCTCTACTCTTCACAAAGTTGAGTTTCCTTCTAATCCTAACATGTTGTGAGCTGTGTTTTCCCAAAAGGGCCTAAAAAAATTTTCCAAAAAATGTTTTATACCAGAGGCTCAAAAACAAAGCTGTCTCTAGGTCCTATCATATAATAATATGGCTCTTTTGTGAGCTTTCATCTCATAGCCTTCAATCATGCCCCAATCTTAATTAGTGCTTACAGCATTCATTAGAGTAGCAGGATTACTGAATTAAAGGAGAGGGCACCAGCTTTCCAAGATCTAATAGAATTTGCCCAAATGATTTAGAAAACAAGTGCCAGAAAAGAAATATGGCTCCAAAGACTTTTTGCAGTATGATAAATGTTTCTAATTAGCTAGAGGAAGCTGCCCATGAGTAGGGGTCCCTTGCTTTGTATTTAAGACAACAGTGTGCTAACACATTCATATTGGCTCAGAGAGATGCTCTTACCTCATAGATTCTTTCAGACAGGCTTTTAAATATGGCATATTCCTCAGAGCTTCTGCCCGTGGCACCTGATTCTCAGGTACTACTCTCTGAATTTCTTTAAGAAGCTTTTGTTGCACTTGGGGATTTCGGGATAAATTGTAGAGAATCCACATTAGGCTGTTTGCTGTCTGCAAGCCGAATGGACATAAACTTGAGTTTTTGTAAATAACTGCGTTAAGCCACTATTAGCTGAAGAAAAGGTGATGCGATGATGCCTACCACCTTGTTCTGCAAACATATTATTAGTGAAGCTTTCATGTATCCTATTGCTTTGCCTTTAGATAAATCCAATATATGAAAAAGCAGATTTGTTTTATAAAACATCAATTAAGGATATATTTTAAATTATTTACTGAGGAAATAAAAGTATAATCTTTTAATCAGCTGCTTTAGAACATTTCAAATACAGGGTTTTTTTTTTTTTTTTTTTTTTTGGGAGATGGAGTCTCCCTCTGTCGCCCAGGCTGGAGTGCAATGGTGCCATCTTGGCTCACTGCAACCTCTGCCTCACGAGTCTCCTGCCTCAGCATCCTGAGTAGCTGGGATTACAGGTACCCACCACCACACTTGGCTAATTTTTGTATTTTTTAGTAGCGACCGGGTTTTGCCATGTTGGCCAGGCTGGTCTTGAACTCCTGACCTTAGGTGATCCACCCGCCTTGGCCTCCCAAAGTGCTGGGTTTATAGGCATGAGCCACCACACCCGGCCTAACATACAGTTTGACACAATAATTGCTTGAACCCAAATGAGTACATGTAAAACTGGTGAAATGAGAATATTAGTGGGTTAAATCAATGACAATTTTAGGGTTATGATAATGTTTTCTTGTTAGGACATTACCAGCAGGGGAAACTGGGAAATGGATACAAGGGATCCCTCTCTGTTTTTTCTTAGAACTGAATGTGAATCTACGATGATCTTAAAATAAAAATTTAATTAAAAGTTGCTTGAGATAAAAAACATTAATGTAAAAATGAAGTAAACAGAGCAGGATGGTGATCCTCAGGCTGTTGCTAATGAGAGCCCTGAAGAAAATGGTACAGTGCAAATGGACAAGAAATGGCATTTCTGGAATTTAAAAGTTTTTGGCCATACCCTAAAAAGTTACCACCAAAATAAAAAGGCACTATCTGCACTCAGGGTTTCAGCCACATGTAAAGAGCCCTCATACGAGGGTGCCAATGCCAAAATAAATTCGAGCACTGAGCTGAGTACTTCAAGGAAGCAGCTGCAGTTTCTGACAAAGGCCCACGCCCCTTTAAGTGGCATCTTTTATTTTCTCTCCAAAGACATTTAGAGAAAAAATATTGGTGGAAACAGCCAGTGTAGCTTTAGGCTACATAATATTCACCACTAATAGTCATATATATTTATTTTTTAGGCCTTTCTTTGCTAATTTAAGCCAAATATTCCCTAAAAATGATCATTGTGTCCTTCCTCGCAGACATGAAGGCGCTGTTGCTAAGTGCCATGTGCCACTCACACAGATGAGCAAAGTGCAAGACCATTCAGAGATGATGGTTATTTATTATTTTTGGAAGAAGATGCCTCCCAGGCAGCCTTCTTCATGTCAGCGAACCGGCAGCCTCGGCTACAAATAAACTGTAGACAGCATTATTACAAGAGTCTAATTTACAAAACAGGAAGAGGGTGTAGCCATCAAATTAGATACACTTTCAAATGGGTCTGATTTTCCAAATGTGACTTCAGAATAGCCAGGACCAAAAAAGAAATGGATTTGACCGTATCAGTGAGTCCCTCACCGCAAGTACCAAACAGGGTTTCCAAAAGGCAGATAACTGTCACTTTTACCAAAGCCATGCAAGACAGTCCGAGCCTGTAAGGAAAACTGCAGGGGCTGAGCTGCAGCAGCTGATTCCAGGGGAAGTGGCCTGGGAAACCTCAGGGGCACACACTGTCCTGGATTGACCTCTGTGGAACAGACCGAGCTCATGAACTGGTCTGCTGTGTCTACTCTCTCTGCTAAGTCCATTCTTTACCCACCAGCCAGAGCCCACTTTTAAAAACATAAAGGATTAGGTGATTCCCTTGCTTAAAACCGTACGAGAGCTTCCCATCACAGGTGCAATCTAATCCTAATGCCTTACCCAGGCTCACAAGGCCCTTGCTAACAAGGCCCATCAACTTCTTCAATCTCAGCTCTCACCACATTTGCCTGTTCTCTAGCTCCATCCCTCTTTCTGTCCCAGGGCCTTTGCATGGGCCGTTTCCTCTACCTGCAGTACTCTTCCACCAGGTCTTCCCATGGCTGGCTCCTTCTCATTATTCCAGAGTTGGCTCCAGTACATACTGCTTTCTCAGAGAGGGGTCTCCTCCCATCATCTCCACCTCTTTCTATAATGCCACCCTGATGGTGTCCTCCACAATCCGTGCCACTATCTAAAGTGACCACATTTGTTTGTTCACATGTCTACTGTCTGTCTTCCCCACCTGCATACAAGTTCCGTGAGAGCGGAAACCCTTGTCTCTGATTTATGGTGGTCTCTCAAGAACCTGGAACAGTCCCAGGCATACAGAAGGCACTCAATAGCTCCTGAATTCCTTCATTTATTCAACAAGAATCTCTTAGCCACTGCTATATGCCAAGCACTGTTCTGTGTCCTGGAAACACAGCAGTGCACAACCCTAAACCTTGCCCTCAGCCCTCGGAGAGGTCAAGTCCAGTAGAAAAAATGAAAGAATAATGGGTACGTTTTACTTTCGAGACTGTAAGGAACCTCCCAGGGTAAGTAATTCAATAGAAAAGTGAGTGAGGATGGATTTCTACTTTCAACCACCTTCTGGAGCATGAGGAGAAATGAGAAACTCGCTATGTCCCGATAGAGAAAACCCTACCTTTTCTTCAGGAGAGAAACAGCACAGAAGGGGAAACGCATGGAAAATAAATGACTGCTTTATGTTTTGCTTAGAGACTTTAAGGTGCATGAAATCTCGACTTAGGGGCAGTTTTCACGTGGATCACTCCCATCGTAGCTGGAAGAAGTATCCAAGTCAATTAAACCTGCCTGAATGTCTATGGAAGGATTTGTTTGGGGTTGGTCTGCACTTAGTATCCACTATCTACTATCTCCTAGGGAGTACTGGCCATATCAGAGACAGAATTTTGGTCTTTAAAATGAGCTGTTTTGCTTCAGTTAAAACCCACTTGCCCCAGACTCTTTCTCTGAGACTTTCTTTACAATTCTAAGCAGATAAAAATATTATTGGCTTGAAAGAGAGTATGCCATTTTCTTTTTACAGTAACAGCCACAGTTAGGCACTTTGGGATAATGTGTGTGACTGAACAAAATACATCCAATTTTGAAAAATCTGGATTTGGTATCTTGCCAGGGCATGGAACTTTGCTGCTCCTGAATTCCCATAGCAGTTTGCATGTACATCGCAGCGCTGATTACATCTTACTCTGGATTTTTGTCACTGGGGCATGTGAAGTCTACTACACTGTGTTTCAGGACAAAAGGCTGTGCATTGAGGCACAGCGGCATCTAGTATGAGAGCTTTCGTTTCTGTGAAGTTGGTGCTCAGTGAATCCGGGTGAAATGAATGAGATGAATTACTATTTAAAATTTGTCATCTAAAAATTGTACAGACGTTCATTTAGCAAGCCCAAATCCAGCCCATCCTTACCGTTTCCACCGCAGCCAGCTGGAGCTCTGTGACGGCAGCATACAATTCTTTCTTTGAAAGCTGATTCTGGTGATAAATGTCACAAAGGAAATGTGCACTAGGCTGCTGAGAATACTTCTCTAACTGGTTGTCGATACAAGATTTGACTATTAGAGCAGGGAAGAAAGAGAGGAAGTCAGTTGAAAATTAGGATGAGGAAAATCACAAAAGAAAACTTCAGTCCCAAATCCTTCTGACAATATCTAAATAGTCTTTTCAGGAACACTGACGATTTGTGACACACACTAATTATTGGCTTCTTGTTAAGTCGGCAAAGATGTTTCAATACACACATGAGCAAGACTTCTTACACTTTAATGTGTATAGGAATCACCTGGGTATCTTTCCAAAATGCAGAATCTGAATCAGGCCTCAGGTGGGCCTGGAACTCTGCATTTCTAACAAGCTCCTAGGTGAGGCTGATGCCACTGGGCTGCAGGTCATACTTGTGAGTAGTAAGAGTTAAGCTCTTGGGAGAAATAAGCATAAAAGAAGGTAGGATTAGGGTTCATTTTCAGAATCTGACTTGGGCTCAGATGTTACTAAGCACACACACCCCACATACATACACACAAGTACAGTGCCCCTGTATGTAGACAATAATGGTAAAAATTTCTAATCTTTATAGTGTAAAATCTAGGCATGTATCTCCCTAATTATTTTATTTTATTTTATTTTGAGATGGAATCTGGCTCTGTTGCCAGGCTGGGGTACAGTGGCGCGATCTCGGCTCACTGCAATCTCCACCTCCCGGGTTTAAGTGATTCTCCTGCCTCAGCCTCCCAAGTAGCTGGGATCACAGGCATGCACCACCATCCCCTGCCTTCCCTCACCTGGAAGCAAACAACCACCAGGCTCATTAGAATAATGAAAATGGTAATAATAATGGTGTTCAGATATGGCACAGCAGTCAGAGTTCGAGTCCTGGAACCCCACTGTCTGGCTTCAAACCTTGGCTTTGCCACCACCTAGCATGCAATCTTGGGAACGTTTGCTAACTTCTCTGTGTCTCAGGTACCTCTCTCAGGGCTAATAAAAGGACCTACCTTACAGGTGTGTTGTGAGGATTAAATAAATGTATGAGTGAACAATGCCTAGCATCCAATCTTCCCCTTCATCATGTAGCAGAAAGAGCTCTGGCCAATGAGATACTGTGATATGCCAGGTTTTTATGTTATCTATAATCTATACTAGACCCAGAAACAGTTACATTGAGGTGGGTACTCTTCTTTTTATTATTAATTATTATTAGTCCATTTTAGAGACAAGGTAACTGAGGATGAAAAGGTGATAGCACATTTGGCCAAGCCACCCCAACAACCAGTGACAGACAGCAACTTGAACCCAGTTGATCCCTTACTCCATAGATTTTATGTTTTTTTGTTTTGTTTTGTTTTGTTTTTTAAAGACAGATTCTTACTCTGTCTCCCAAGTGGGAGTGCAGTGTCGCAGTCTTGGCTCACTGCAACCTCCACCTCCCAGGCTCAAGGAATTGTCCTGTCTCAGCCTCCTCAGTAGTTAGGATTACAGATGCCTGCCACCATGCCCAGCTAATTTTTGTATTATTAGTAGAGACTGGGTTTCACCAAGTTGGCCAGGCTGATCTCAAGCTCCTGGTCTCAGGTGATCCGCTCGCCTCGGTTTCCCTAAGTGTTGAGATGACAGCACTGAGCCACCGTGTCTGGCCAGATTTTACTTTTAACCACTCTTAATTCCCAAAGAAGACTACAGAAAGCTTGTTACTTAGAATTTGTGTATACAAAAGCAATCCCCAAAACACATGTGTTTGCAAAACCTAAACGTGGTGATGAGGTCCAGGAGATCACTCCAGACCTTCTCTCTGCAGCTGCAGACACAGAGGGTGTGAAGGGTGGCCCTTTACCTGATTTGAAAATGGTGTCCCAGGCCAGGGTGTGGTCCTGCCAGACCTTGGTGTTGAGGCTCTTGTGCAGCTCGACTGGAGTGACCATCATTCTCCCAAACGTGCTCATCATCTGAGAGAAATGCAAACCCTTTTTTATTCTGAATTCTCCTTCTCCCAAAGACAACTTACATTCTGGAAGAGGGGCATTGTGAACCACAGCACCCTGCACTTTTTGAAAGGCTGGAATTACAAGGATGCCCTGGCTCGCTCTGCACTGGTCCCGGGAACAATGCCCATACCCCACTGCCAGCTCCTTTCAATATGGAAAGTAGTATGGGGGATGATTTCCCACTGGATGTGTCGGGTTAAAATTGTAATCTTATGACCCAATTGTAAAAAAAAAAAAAGATGGAAAACTATAACTTTCATATTCACTTCAATTTCTAATAATTTCCAAACCTCAGTCATTTCCAAACCAATTTCACAGCGTTTATCCTATCTACACATCACCCAAACCATTCAAAAAGGTAAAATCTGAAAAATTTCGGGCTCTTTTTAAAAAGCATTTTTAATCGACTGATTTTTAATTAAAATAGTGATTTTAACCATGCCTAAACAAAGAAATAATGGACTTAATGTGCTTCTTTATGCTACGTGCATATACGCAGGGCTTTCCAACCCCCAGGCTATGAACCAGTACTGGCCAGTGGCCTGCTAGGAATTGGGCCACGAAGCAGGAGGTGGTCAGCGGGCCAGCAAGGGTTACCACCTGAGCTCTGCCTCCTGCCAGCTAGTGGCTGCTTTAGATTGTTGCAGGAGTGCAAACCCTGTTGTGAACTGCCCGTGCAAGGGACCTAGGTAGGGAATCTAGGTAGATTCTCCTTATGAGAATCTAATGCCTGATGATCTGTCACTGTCTCCTCTCACCCCAAGATGGGACTTACTCATTGCAAGAAAACAAGCTCAGGCCTTCCACTGATTCTACATTATGGCGAGTACGTGATAATAATGGAAATAGAGTGCACAGTAGATGTAATTTGCTTGAATTATCCTCCCTCCCTGCCCCTCCCCCACCACCCCGCCCCATCCATAAAAAAATTTTCTTCCATAAGACTGGTCCCTGGTGCCAGAAAGGTTAGAGACAGCTGCATATATGCACATAAAATGAACACTTAACTATTGAAATAAAATATGTGTGTATGCCGTGTTTTGGGAAACACTGAAGTTCTGTAAAAATAAATCTGTAAAACATCAGTCAAGGAAACTGCTCGCCTAAAGAGGCTGCTTACTGTTTTGATGGCCGTGATGAAGTTCACAGCTTCGTCCCCCGTATTCTTCTGGAGAAGCCCAAATCTCTTCTCATACAACACGAGGCAGATACCTGTTATTTAAAATAATCATCACTTTTCACAATCACAGCAATGCTGGAGTCTGTGCTTAGCTGGCTATTAAAGACAGTTCTATGCCTCTTAAAAGTGCGGGATTTTCTGAGAAAAGGCAATAGTCCAAGAATATCAAGAAAAAGCAAAGAGTCTGAGAGAACGGGGGCACAATCACTCTCCTCTTTTTCTGGAAATGATCTCCAGGTCCAATGACTCATCACCTTAGAACGTCCTGCTCAGAGATCCACTGTGCTGAGTCACAGCAGTCACACAGGAGATCCAGGGGCCCTAGCAAAGGCGCTGCTGGGTCAGGTCTGCGCTATGCCTCGAACTCAGCTGGGTTTTTAGAGTCACTTATTGGATTCTATTGCCGGCCCTAATCGTTTGGAAGCCATTCACCAGAGGAAGAGAAGGGAAGGAAATAATTAGGTTCCAAACACGTATTACATGCCAGATACTGGGCTAGGACTTCATATAGAGCTTTTTCTTCCATCTCATCATTTTATTTAGAAGAAACCTTTTAAAAATAAAATTCCCAACTCTTCATTTCAAAACTTTGTACCTACAGAAAACCTGAAGGAGTGGTAACATGAAAACCTGTATCCTCTGACCTCATCAACATTTTGCGGCCATTTCTTTCTCTTTGTGTGTATGTATGCGTACAAGTGTATATGTGACTGTGTGTGCTGAACCATTTGGAAATAATTTTGAGCTCTCAGGACACTTCGCCATTAGATAACTTAGCAGTAATGTCCCAAGAATAAAGCATTCTCCTACATAAACACAGTGTCATTAATATTCCTAAGAACATTAGTGGCCATTTCATAGAAAATCTACTGTGTCCCATTTTAAAATGTTCCCTATTGTCCTAAAAATTATCTCCTGTAAACTTTTTTTTAAAAGAGGACACAGGGTGGAGGATGGTGGTTCACACCTGTAATCTTAGCTCTTTAGGAGGCTGGGGCAGGCAGATTGCTTGAGCCCAGGAGTTTCAGAACAGCTTGGGCAACATGATAGAAACCTGCCTGTACAAAAAATAAAACATTAGCGAGGCATGGTAACATGTGCCTGTAATCCCAGCTACTCTGGAGGCTGAGGCAGGAGAATCGCTTGAACCCAGGAGGTGGAGGTTACAGTGAGCCGAGATCACGTCACTGCACTCCAGCCTGGGGGCAGAGTGAGACTCTGTCTCAAATAATAAAAAGAAAGTTACTTATTTTTTTATTAATCTATTATGGCAGTGATTCTGACCTTGAATTTATGGAAGTGTTGTTATAGGTTTTCCTTCTATGCCTCCCATCAGCAGCCACAGTGATCCTCCCAGCAAATCTGCCCATATCATACTGCTGCTAAAAACACTCCCACAGCTCCCGGTTACTTCCCGGCTCAAATGCAAACTCCCACCCATGCAGCCCTCCGTGAGCTGGCTGCCTGCCCTCTCCCAGCCTCCGTCCCCTCCCACACGCCTGTCTTACAGGATATGCTTCATTCATTCTGAACTTCTGCAGAGACACTCTCCTTCCTCCCTTTTCACCTGGTGAGCTCCTACTGAACCATCAGGTCTGAGCTGAGAGGCCCCATCTCCGTGAAGCCACCTCTGCCCGTGTCTGGCTTAGGCAGCCCTCTCCCGTTCTCCCACAGCCCTGAATGTCCTCAGCCAGGTGCTCTCCCGCCTCATCACAGTTGACTCCCCTCCTGCCTGCGCCCCCATGGGCAGTGAGCTCTTCCACAGTGATCCTTGAAGAAAGCGGTCAAGCCCTCCCTCCCTTGCTTGCCCCCTCTGAATCAGACTAGGGGCAAAGTCTTGCCGGGACCTATCAGATGCCTGCCTTCTTTCTGACCTCATCTTGTTTCACAGCCTCCCCTTCGTCCCAGCTTGTTCATCGTGATCCACTCACACCAGCACCTTGCAGCTCCTCAGACACTGCGTTCATGCTTCCACCTCCCGGCATCTGCGGTTGCTGTCTCTGCTGCCTGGGATGCCTGGAACAGCCTTCTACAGGAACCCTCGTGATTCACTCCTTCCCTTCCTTTAGGACTTACCTCACATGCCTCCTTAACTAAAAAGGATTTGCATATCTTTCATGCTCTTTCTTTCTTCTTTTTCTTTTTCTTTCGTTCTCCTTCCTTCCTTTCTTTCTCTCTCTTTCTCCTTCCTTCCGTCCTTCCTTCCTTCCTTCTTTCTTTTTCTTTCTTTCTCTCTTTCTTTCTTTTTTTTTCCTGTTTCCTCCCTCCCTCCCTCCCTTCCCCTCTCCCTCCCTCCCTCCCTCCCTCCCTCCCTTCCTTCCTTCCTTCCTTCCTTCCTTCCTTCCTTCCTTCCTTCCTTCTTCTGTCTCCTCCCTCCCTCCCTCCCTCCCTCCTTTCCTTCCTTCCTTCCTTCCTTCCTTCCTTCCTTCCTTCCTTCCTTCCTTCCTTCCCTCCTTCCTTCTGTCCTTCCCTCCTTCCCTTCCTTCCTCCTTTTTCTCTCTCTCTTTTCTCCCCTCCTTCCCTCCCTCCCTTCTCTTTCTCTCTCTGGGGTCTCAGTCCATCACCCAGACTGGAATGCGGTGGCACAATCACGCCTTCACTTCTGCTTTGACTTCCCAGGGTCAAGCATTCCTCCCACCCCAGCCTCCCGAGTAGCTGGGACTACAGGCATGTGCCACCACACCTGACTAATTTTTGTATTTTTTGTAGAGGCAAGGTTTTGCTGTGTTGCCCAAGCGGGGCTCAGATTCCTGGGCTGGCCTCAAGTGATCTGCCCACCTCAGCCTCCCAAAGTCCTGGGATTACAGGCATGAGCCACCATACCTGGCTTTCATGCCTCTTAACTCCCTTTCTCTTTCCTTTACTCCTTGGACGGGTATGTTTTAAAATGTGTCTACTTGTTGACTATCGCCTTGTCTAGCATATAAGCTCCCCAAGGGCAGGGAGATTATCTGTTTTGTTCATTGTCGTATCCCTAGTACCTAGCACAGTGCCAGACACACAGCCAGTGTTCAACAAATGTTTGTTGTATGACTTCATAAACAATCCATAGTTCAAGGCATAACTTAAGCACATAAAAGAAGCATGAAAAGGGCTGCTATGGCCTTTCCCTAGGCAGCAATAATGCATGATTACAGAGGGTTGCCAACAGAGCCATGTTTCACTCTGAAAATCACCTGCAAAATCAATGAGCAAGACTGTAGTGGCAACTCACTTTCAAGTGACCATTTGTTCAGTTCACTGTACAAGTCTTCAATGTGTCCTTTTTCATCACAGAGCTCATCTATTCTGCCCATAAAATCAGCCAAGACCTTCAAAGAAAACAACCACAAAAGACACATTTTAAAGATGTTGAAGGAAAACAAAGGTTCAAAGCTCACTGAACTAACTTTAGGCCTTGCTCCTTCGTATATTCACAGGCCATCATGTTATTCATCCTGAAGTCATGCTAATTATATACTCTCCCTGGGAACCCACCTTATCCCCTAAGGACCTTGTCCTGGGTTATTTCCTGAGCTTTTTCTGAAGCCACCCTGAAGCTTACGTTTCAGCTTTTGATCTAAAAATAATTCTGGCAATTTAAGAAAAGAAAAACATTTTTTTTCCTAATCAGAATGGGTGAATAAACCACAAAGGAATCAGCCAAATGTCCCTGTTAGCCCAGCATCTCAAGGACTGTGAATCGGCAGCTATCCTGAGGTGCCCTTCCACATCTGTACAAGCAAACGTCTCTTTATTGGTTGGTGGTTGTGTTAAGCATGTTGAATTTGGAGCCAGAAAATCTACCAATTCTGGACGCAGCTCCTTCCCTGAGTAGTCTATGACCTTGGGACAGTCACATAAGACCTTTGGATGCCAGTTTCATAAACCAGTTTTCAATTATGAATGCCTCACATTTAATGAGGTCCACATGGTACCCAACACTGTACAAAGTGTATTGGCTGATCCTCCCAGCAACGCCATGAGGTAGTAGGTACTGTCATTACTCATTTCCCATGTAATAGATGAGAAAGCTGAGGCTTAAAGGGGCCAAGTCGCTCACTTGTGGACAAAGAGCTGATAAGTTGCCATCCTGGACTCTACCAAGAGCTGGTCTGATCATAAAGTCCACACATGTGGACTTAGTTTGCATCTTTAGTTTGCCCCCATAGTGCATTTAAAAGTACTTTGTTACCATTAAAAAAAACAAGAGGTTTCATATGAATGTATGGATTTGCCACTAATGGTTTAAAATGTAAATAACAATTACGGAACTTGGTGACTCGAGGTCTGCATTCCTACATGGCCACCCTTTGCTGGCACTGGGGCTGCTGTCCCTCCTAGGAGGGGCATGCACTGTTATGTTTCCTACAATTTTCACTGGGTCTGCCTTATTATTTTATATTAGTCATGTGGCCCCTGGAAGCTTCTGAGTTTGCAAACCTTCACCTATGTGATCCCATCTGTGGCCACATCCAGTTCAAAATAAACATCCAAAGTTAATGGAGGTAAAAAGAGACTACTATATGCTTAAAACCCTCTTTGACTCCATGTTGGCTAAGGGATAATGTCCAAACGTTTTAGTAGAATTCAAAAATATTGTTAAGATCTGTCCAGTATCATTTCAGAGAAAGCCTTACATCAGCTATACTAAATGACTGATTCTCTGAACACAACATGTCATTTCATGCCTCCTGATTTTCAGAAGGCTATTCTCTCTGCCATCACGCCTTCTTCCACCTTCTTTGCTTTCAGATTCCTACTCTTCCTGCAAAACCCAGCTCAAGTATCACAGCTTAAGAACTTTACAAGGTTATCTCATTTAATTCTCACAGCAAACCCATGCAGTGGGAACAGTTACTCCCATTATGTAGATGAGGAAATGGAGACTTAGGGAAGTTGAGTGACATCGCTAGTTCTCATAGCCAGGGAGTGGAAGGCTGGGGCTTAAATCCAAGGCTGTAGAATACCAAAGTCTATGTTCCTCATTTCTCCCTCATTGTGATATGACTTTAAAAAAGGCTGAAGGGCTGGACACGGTGGCTCACGCCAGTAATCCCAGCACTTTGGGAGGCAGAGGCAAGCAGATCACGAGGTCAGGAGTTTGAGACCAGCCTGACCAACATGGTAGAACCCCATCTCTACTAAAAATACAAAAATTAGTTGGGTGTGGTGGTGGGTAACTGTGTCCCAACTACTCAGGAGGCTGAGGCAGGAGAATCGCTTCCACCTGGGAGGCAGAGGTTGCAGTGAGCCGAGACTGTACCACTGCACTCCAGCCTGGGCAACAGAGTGAGACATCATCTCAAAAGAAAAAAAAAAAAACAAAAACAGAGCGTGAAGGATAGAGAAATATTGGTGGGGAGTAGGTTGTAGAAGGAATGGAGAGAAAGAGAAGACGCCCTTAAATCATCCGAATTGCATTCTTTTTTCTCTGTACTTTGTGGCTGTGTCTTGGAGCTCTGTTAATATCCCCATGTCCCCAGGAGCCCCAGGAAAGCTGGCCCCAGCCTGCAAACCTCATTGATTTTGTTGTCCAGCTTCATCACTTCCACTGGTTTCATTAGTTTCTTTTGAAAGGCGCTCCGGACCCGCTGCCAGTCTTCACCTTCCCTGTGAGAGAAGCAGAAATACATTTAGAGCACATTGAAAAGAAAAGAAGGGAGATGCAGAAATACCTCCAGCTGCAACTTCAGGAACAATACAATCAAACACTGAGAATCATGCTAGAAATAGCCAGAGAATATGAACATTAGAATATTTGGGGCAAAATAGTGATCATATTTTGACAATCGTTTGGCAATAGGATGAAAAGGCATCTTTCCTCCTAGTCAAAGATTGCACCAGAAAGTTGAAGTCCAGATAATCTGGGTTCAGGGATTTTGAGGTGTCTCTGCAGGGAGTGGGAGCTGGGAGGCCAGAGGCTAGTTCCTAGCAGTGAAAGGGGGCATGTGAACACCCCATCACCAGCAACTCTGATCTGTTTGAGGAAAGAATCTTGTCTTCTTTCAACTCATTGGTGTGGAGTTCATATTTGCAAAATGTCTCAGAATAAGAATTTTACCATCACCTCCAAATAATAACATACAGCCAGAGATTCACTGGAGTAGTAAAAAGCCTCTTGCAATCATGCGGTTGTATGCACCTGCCCCGTAGCATACCACACAGAGTGATGCACTGTGCATTAATACGGTTTTTAATTCCAGTAATTATATCCTGGAAAATATAACTATTAGGCATTACGATGGGGGGGCGGTAAATAAAGGTGCTAATTTGTTAAATGCTAACAACTAAAAAGCAGAAGAATCCTATCCCATTGTAGCATTTATCTACCTAAAATACAACTTTGACATCCCTCCTGATTCAAATTTTACAAGTAGAAAGGCATGACCCCCAATCCTTTGCGGAAAAGGTCACTGTAAAAAGCAAAAGAGGTTAACTTCTGGTTTTTGAGCTTGCAAGGCATTTCAGGGAGTTTTAAGGGCTAATTTTGTTTGTATAAGGTGTTAGCCCGGTAAGCTAACTTCACAACATCATCCTGCCCAGGGATCTGAACACCACAGTTTGTACAACCCCGTTTTGGCGTTTCTTTGATGGAAGGGTGTGGCCCTGCCCCCTTGCCAGAGAGAACGCAGGTGTCCGGTGCACAGCACGGCTTTTTAATGGACCGACTCTAATCTACACAAGAGCTCAGGGTTGCAGTCGCCCCGGATCGGGGCTTTGGTATCCGCTCTGCCTAAGAAGAGTCCAACCCCAGGGAACTCTAACTCCCGCCTCTTCGCAATTTCCAGGCGCTGTCAGGTTCATCAGGCGCGGCCGCGTGCTCGGGTCCCTCGGTTTGGACTCACAGGATCAGCAGCCCGTAGCCTTCTTTGCGGTAGTCGCGATAGGCCTTCCATGGTTTGATCTCCAGCCGCTGCGGGTGCGCGCTCTCGGTGCGGTACAGCGCTTCCAGCAGGCACGGCGAGCCCAGGTGCACCGACTCAAAGGAACCCAGCTTCATGCGGAAAATCTTGCCGTACTTCTTGTGGTACTCCGCCTGCAGCGGGCCCGGCACAGCGCGGAGTCAGCGCGCATCCTCCGCGGTCCCCCAAGCGCTTCTCCCTCCTCCCGCCTCCTTCCTCCTCGGGGACCGGGGACCCTCGCTGCCCAGACGCCAAAGCGCACCGTGCGCCAGAGCTGTGCACCTCGGGGAAGGTTTGGTGCGCCACTGGGAGGGCGAAACAAGGAGGAGAAAGGGAATCAGGGGCGCGAAAAGGTATTTACCAGGGTGTTGTGCTGTTTCTTGAGCCCTCCTTTCCAGAGAATCTGCAGCAGGCTGCCCAGCAGTGGCCAGTTGGTGGGGCCCGGCAGGGCGGCCGCGTTCTGGGTCTCGCCACCAGCTGTCAGCGGACAGACCGGCACCTCTCGTGGCTGAGAAGGTGTGCACGCCTCAGAGGTCACGGGTCTGGGAGGCTGCCTCAGACTTCGCTGCTGCTGCAGGAAGGAGGCGAGCGAGCGGCTCTTGCTGATGGGGGAGCTCATGGCAGCGGGGGACACTGGGGTGTGGAAAGGCACCGGGATGGGGTGGGGCGAGGTGGGTACGAGGCACTGGTGGGATCTGGGGGCTTAATGATTCTGGGAAGGGGAGGCGAACAGGGCCGGCTGGTGTGATGGAGCGGGGTGAGGCGGGACCGGGCAGAAAGGATCTAGGCGAGGATGCTCGACGGTGCACCGTGCGGCAGCCTCAGAGCGTCGGTGCCTCCTTGTGCTGGCCGTAGGGGCTGGGGACCTCTTGGAATGGGAAAGCTGGGAGTCCTCCTGTTGGTCTGCAAGTCTGACTTCTAGGGTCTGGCTGGAACCGCAGGGAGGAGGTGTCGAGGAGGGTAGGTGAGATGTTGCTGGCGCCGCGTTCCTTCCGGTCCCTCTCCAAGTTGTCGTGCCCGGGGACCTTGCATTTATGGAGACAGGGCATGCCCTGGGTGGCCAATGAGCACTCAGAGGAGGGCGGAGTGGCCCCCGGCTGGCCAGGTTCCGAGGGACGGACGCGGGACCCAGGGGAGGGGGTGGAAGGAGGATGGAGTCAGCGAGGTGATCGAGGGAGTCAGCGAGGTGATCGAGGGCATCAGCGCCTCGGGTCACCGGGGTGCTTGCTGATAGCCGGGCGCGGGAGGTGGGGTGGGGTGGGGGCCGCAGGCTCCACCCCGGAGGTAACCCCCGGGAAGGCACGCGAAGCCCGAAGCCCGGAGTTCACCGGGTTTACGCCGAACGCGCCTCCCTGCCCTCCCCCGGGGGCAGGATCCGGCAGTGGCAGCGGTGGTTGCCGCCCGGCGCTTGCACAATCGCGATGCCGGGCGGGCGAGGTCCCGGAGTGCGGGCCCGGGAAAGCGGCTGGCGTCTGCCAGGAGCCTGGAGAGCCGGCGCACCTCCCGGGAGCCAGATCCCCCAGCCTGGACTGAAGTTTTGTTTTGGAGAAAGTTTGGCTTTCTGCGTCTGTCAGTCAGAGTGAGGAGGATCTGAGTCTTACTGAAATGCACCCCAAGAGGAGACTTTTGGGTCTTAACTTGAGTGAGAAGGGGAGTTTGTAGAATTTCCTTCCTGCTGTTTCATGTCTGGTTGTTTTGCAGATTAAATGGATGAACGCACGTAAAGCAGCAACAACGGAGCGCTGTCCATAGTCACTAGTCACCAAAAATTAGCTGCTGGTGTTCCTTCTTTAGGAAGTTGGGAAATGCGCCTTGGAGAGGGTGGCTTGAAGTTAAGAAATGCGCCTTGGAGAGGGTGACTTGTACCAGCGACGCTTGAATTCAGGCTGGGCCACCTTCCCTATGTCCACCGCCCGTCTCTGTTCTTGTACAACGACGAGCTTGTGAAAAGGAGGGGTACACAGAGCTCGAGACCACCGTCCCCAATGCCCACCCCCACCCCCACCCCAAGGTGCGTCCTAGGCAGGTCCAGTGACAAACATACACAACTTCTAGAATCATCCGGGCTGGCAAGAGAACCCGCTTTGCTAATTCAGGAAGGGAAGTTGGAGATTTTTGTTGATGGTTTTAAAGTGGCTTGAGTCCTTTCAACCTGATCCGATACAAAACTACCACCAGCCAAGGAAGAGAGAAGGGACGTTCTGTTTCCTTGCCCTGCTTGTCAGTCACGTGTCTCAGTCATTTTTTGCCCCGAGTGTTGGCAAATCTTTCCCTGGTAAATTCTTTTGTAAGTCTCTAGTTTGTTTCTTAAAAATCTTTTGCAGCCCGACTTGAGCTTGAACACCATAATTTTTGATTTGTCAGGAGGGGTTAATGACTGTTTATGTTAGTAAAAATAATAGCTATTGATACATACTATAATTTATGCATGATACCTATTTATGTATACATTATATACTATATATGATGCAGCAGCAGCATACACCAGATTGTATGTTATATGCAATATACACTAAATATATGTAATATAGTATAGGTGGCATACTGGATGTACATCCATATGTTTTATAAGATTCTCATGAAATCTTTCTAGGGCTTATGATAAGTTAGGCACTGAACTAGACATTTTATGTCAGTTTTCCCATTTAGTTCTCGTCTCAGCCCAATGCCAATAAAATGAAATAAAATAAAAAACAAAAAAATACCAAAGACAAAAAAACCCTTGACTCTTGACTCTTGACTTTTATAATTGACTCAGGTGGGATTCAGACTCAATATTTTCTGATTCTAGGCCGGGCCCTACATTATACACCCCTATACATCATGCTATGTTACGTCACTTTTTCTTAAACCAGAATGTCTCAGACTATTGGAAGTATTTCTCAAATGAGAATTATCACCAAGAGGAAAGTCGGTGGGTCCAGAACGCCTACCATGTCAGTACGCATGAAACAAATGTTGTATGTGCTGATGGTGTTGCAAAAGAGTAGCTCCGGCTGGGTGCGGCAAGCCACGCCTGTAATCCCAGCGCTTTGGGAGATGGAGGTGGGTGGATTACCTGAGGTCAGGAGCTTGAAACCAGCCTGGCCACCATGGTGAAACCTCATTTATACCAAAAATACAAAAATTAGCCGGGCATGGTGGTGCATGCCTGTAATCCCAGCTACTTTGGAGGTTGCAGTGAACTGAGATTGTACCACTTCACTCCAACCTGGGCGGTAGAGTGAGACTCTCTAAAAAAGAAAAAAAAAAAAAAAAAAAAAGAATAGCTCTAAACAGAAGTTCTACGTTGTTCGCCACTGAGTGCCTTGCTTCTGGTGTGGTGTTTGGACACAGTGAATGGCTGTATTGTTATTTCAGCCATTGGATCATTTTCCCATTTATTCTTTCTTTTCCTTGTCTTTTGGCAGGTATGCACAAGGAGAAGAGGAAATCATTTCAGACTTGCTAGGTTTTTCTAAGAGTTCTGTGCTATGTTGCTTTGTATATTCTAAATAGATATGTAAATGTATGGGCAATCATTAGTTACATGGTAGCCAAAAAGAAAATTCCTATTCCAGGGATATATTTTCTCATGTTCAATGGAGAAAATCCCCAGTAATTTTTAGATTGAATCGCAGAGAAAAACAAGACTTTCTTTGAAACTTCATTGACCTCAATACGTACCTGTCCTTGGGAAGTACGGTTAAATTCAAAATGACTATTTTTGATCCCACTTCCAGGAACTCACTATTCCTCATTTGTCCTCATCCTTCACTCACTACTTTGCTCTGTGAGTCATCCGGACAGGGATCCTGTCGGGAATTACTAATGAGAGATCTTGAAATGCCTCATAAATGACTGCCATCATTACTGAGACTGGCTCAGGCCCTCTATTTTGTTCTGGGAAATCTTATCAAGTCCTGGAATGGATCATTATACTTCAGCCCTCATATCAAGGGACCACCCATGGCAACATGTATGTGTGAGTTCACACACCTGTGTCCACATGTGTAATGAGGGTGGGGTGGAGGAGCGTGTAGGAGTGCAAGGGCTGGTTTCTCTGCACTGGAAAATGCAAAACCCTTTCAAGTAGATGCAATAGTAATATAGCTTTGTGCTTAAAACTGCCTAGGCCTGGCGTGGTGATTCACGCCTGTAATCCCAGCACTTTGGGAGGCTGAGGCAGGTGGATCACTTGAAGCCAGGAGTTCAAGACCAGTCTGGCCAACATGATGAAACCCTATCTCTACTAAAAAATACAGAAATTAGCCAGGTGTGTTGGCAGATGCCTGTAATCCCAGCTACTTGGGAGGCTGAGACAGGAGAATTAGCTGAACCTGAGAGGCAGAGGTTGCAGTGAGCCAAGATCATGTCACTGCACTTTATCCTGGGTGACAGAGTGAGACTCCATCTCAAAAAAACAAAATCTTTGCCTAAACTGGGGTGTGAGTACTAGATCCACTTTCTGATTGTGGAAACCTGGAGGACTTACTTGTCACATCTGTTGAATGGGCAGTGTTGCAAGTAACCTCACAGTAAAGGTCAAGCCTCATGGAAACAGGAGTAGTAATAATAGCCAATTTCATGCCTTGCTGTGAGAATACTGCATTTAAAGTTCCTAGCACAGCAAAGTGCCCAGCAAACATTACCTTGTAGCATTACTGTATTGCATACCTTGTTTCTTGCCAAGTCCATAGAAGGGAGGCAACTTAGATGTCTCCATTATTATACTTTTGTGTTCAACTCAATAGTTGCAATTGACTCAAGAAACTGTATACTTGAACAAAGTCAAGGGAAGATTAGCAGTGAAATGCTGGTAAATTCAAACCCCAGCTCAGCTACTGCGCAGCCAGAAAAACCGGGGATGACTTACTCGTTTGCAACGTGGTTGTCTCAGCCTTAGTTTCCTCATCTCAAAAGTGGTAATCAGGACAGGCACAGTGGCTCACATCTGTAACCCCAGCACTCTGGGAGATGAAGGCAGGGGGCTCACCTGAGGTCAGAGTTCGAGACCAACCTGGCCAATATGGCAAAACTCTGTCTCTACTAAAAAAACAAAAATTAGCTGAGCATGGTGGCAGGTGCCTATAATTCCAGCTACTCAGGAGGCTGAAGCAGGAGAATCACTTGAACCCAGGAGGCAGAGGTTGCAGTGAGCCGAGACAGTGCCACTACACTCCAGTCTGGGTGACAAAGTGAGACTCCATCCAAAAAAAAAAATGATGATCATGGTAGTTCCCACTCCATAGGGTTTTTCTGAGGATGACAAAGCGCTGAAAGTCCCTAGCACACCTGCTCACTGTTAATGTCATTAAGAACTTCAGGAACTGGGCTCTTAAATAATTAAAGTCATAATCTTTATTACAAGTGTCTCGGAGTTCTTTGCCTAATTAGACAAAACTTCTTGAAATTATAGACACCGTATTTTTTTTTTTGGCTTTGTTTTTGTTTTTCCTAGAGTATATGACAGGGCTGTTTATGTTGGCCAGCACCCAGTGAGTAAATAATGGAAAATTGATTATTGATTATTTCCTCATTCCCAAGTGAAAAGCAGAAAGCTCAGTATCAATGTATTCTTTGTTTTCTGAGGAAATTGTTGGTAATCCTGGAGGGCTTTGTGTGTTGTTCATATATAAAATAGTTCTATGTGACCAAAATAATGGTTTTGATCTCAACAGCTTGGGCTGAAACCGACTCCACCACTCATTAGCTGTGTGGTCTTGGGAAAGCTATTTAACTTCTCTGAGTCTAGTTGCCTTATTGGTAAAATTGGGGGTTACTATACCTGTGTGTCAGGAAGGTCAAGATAAATACTTAAAATATTAGGCAAAACACAATCATTGTCTTCACTAAAATCTGTTTGGCCTCTGTACT